TGTGAAATTATAGTATGCCCCTCCTTCAATGATCTGGTAGATCGTGATATTGGAAACTGTTTGTGACGCAGCGATATAATTTTAAGTATTTTTATTGTACATACCAGTAGAAATCGAAAACAGGTTTTGGTGTTCGAAATGTCAAACAAGGGACAACGCCCGGATTTGTCTGGCCTTTTGTATAAAATTTAAAAAAAAAACATTTCTTCTTTTATTTCATTTATTAAATTAATTTATATTAAATGATATACTTTTGCTCTGTCCAGGTACTGGGATTTTAAATATAAAGCATGAATATATATCCGTTTGCAGAACCCTTTAAAACATCTGACCATTTCAACTGTCACTAGTCTGTGATGTATTTGTTAGCGCAGTTATTTATTAAACTATATGAATAAACGATGTAATTTATTTAAGAAGTATTTATTAGACAGACAAGCAAGGAGCATTGTTACGATGACGAGAAAACGCATTGCAACTCCGATGGGGTGATATACGATAACAGTATCTCTATCTCAAATGAATGCAATGCTGCGCAGCCCGGGTCAAAATGAGCGGTGTAATCGTGGAAGTCATCAACAAACTGCTTTCATGTATATGTATGTACTACCAACGAAAAGCGACAATCTTTAAACAATCGTGGGGAAGTTTGTGATGAAATGCATTGTGAAGATTTTTAGTAAATAGTTAATTGATAACTGATCCAGGGGTTATAAATGTACGAACTCGGTGTATAAACGACTGATGGACGGACGAACTCATTATTATAATTAATGCAGATACAATGACATACTTTGGTATGGCCAAGATGTATGTGTAGATTGGGCGATACTGGATGGTAACAGAAGCAATTGTGGCCATTATAATACTGGATGGCGATATCGAGATGAACGTACTAGGTGGTTATGGAAAGTGTTCTAGATCAAAAAATTGTATATTTGATTTTTTGTGGAAAGGTGATACTATGGTGTGACTAGAAAAGTTTCGTACGTTATCCAAAACAGTAAGGGGCTGGAAAAAAACACAGGGGGTAGGCCGGTGTTTTTTAAAAGTCGCGTACATACAAATATATGACAATGCACAAACAGTTGCATGAAATTTGCTGTATTTTCCCTTGAATTGTGCATGAAAAATTGCGACCCTCCCTCCTAAGTGTATTAAATGTTCTAAATGAACTAAAACTATATATACATACTAATTAGTGTTCTACTACAAAGCTTAGAATATAATCAGAAGAGAACAATGTATGATACTGTGTATCTACTACATTAGGGTGATACAATTTTATTGACACCTTTATTAGTGTTGTGTGTTGAATCGTGCACATTCTTTAAAATACGAGATACAATGTTCAATGACACCATTCTATATTATTATTACATACTCTAGATATACACTTGTTTTATAACACTGAGATTCAGCCAAATATTAGTGGTCTAACGAATTTTAGTAATAGTTCAAAAAGTATCGTGAAGCCTTTTATTCAAAGTTTGTTGGAAGACTTGGCCACCACACAGTATAAATATGTTAATGAGAAAAGAAATTGTATTCACCAAACCATCTTCAGTTCATTTCTCTCTTGAATCAGTGTGATGTTGAATGAAATAGGCTAAATGATTTAAAACTAACTGAAACAATAAACCTATAAAAATGCACACGATACCAAGATATAATCAGGGACTGTCAGCTTTATTAGTCTCCGTTCGAACAAAGTTCGAAACGAGGACTTATAATTCGTTCTCCGTCCGTCCTTCTGTCCAGAGTCATATTTCAGAACCTTGCGGACCTAATCTGTTTATTCTTTGCATGTGCCTAGTACTTCACTTGGAACATATGCACATGCAGTGGTTTACTGATTCAATAGAATAAGTCTGACTTGCAGCCATCTTGTGTTTTTGAAAACATTATATCAATGCATGCTTTGTCAGGTTTTGTTGAAATTTGATACATAACTCATACATTTTAGGATACATGTCATTTTAGGATTTGTGATTGAATTAAAGATGGCCGACTGGCAGTCGTTTTGTTTTTTTGAAAATGTCGTATCTTATGCATGCTTTGTCAGTTTTTGATAAAATTTGGTACATGCATTGTACGTTTTAGATTATATGTCTACGAAAATTTGTTTTCACAATCGGATTAAAGACTGGTGACCATCTTGCCTTTTGTCAGCATCCTTTATTTACCATATTACCTCAAAACCCTTCAAATGGAAGTGTGCATGGAATCATGGGAAGACACGGTGTGCATTGTGATAACTGTCATAAAGGTGATTGTCTCACTTTTGGTATTTAATTTATATTCGTGATTGGGTGCACGTAACGTAGTGATACACTATACGTGATTGGACAATGCAAACCAGATGGCGTGTCGCCACTAGTGCATT